ACTTGTGCATGCTGCATGAAGTTCTCGTGTTGTGTTTTTCAGCCCCATCAATTCACTTATATTCCTTTGTATTTTGTCCATCCTCGTTAGCATTTTGTCAAATCTTTTTTCAAGGTTCTTAGTATCTTTGCATTGGGTTAGAACATGTTCTTTTAGTTCACAGAAGTTTCTTACTACCCACCTTCTAAAGTCTGATTCTGTCATTTCATCACACTCGTTCTCCATCCAACCTTGTTCCTTTGCTGGTGAGGAGTTGTGATCCGTTGTAGGAGGAGAGGTGTTCTGGTTTCAGGTGTTTTCATCCTTTTTGCGCTGATTTCTTCCCATCTTTATGGATTTATCCACCTGTCATCTTTGTAGTTGCTGGCTTTCAGATTGGGTCTCTGAGTGGACATTCTGTTTGTTGATGATGAGGTTATTTCTGTTTCTTGGTTTTCCTTCTGACAGTCTCGCCCCTCTGCTGTAGGTCTGCTGAGGTTCACTCCAGGCCCTGCTTGCCTGGGGATCACCTGCAGCAGCCTCTGTGCTTTCACTGGGAGCTGCAATCCTGAGCTCTTCCTAAACGGCCATCTTGGATTGGTTAATGACTTTTAACACATGTATGCCCCGTGTAATTGCCACCACAGTCAAATATGGAACATTTTTCAGCCCCAAATGCTCCCTCATTCCCCTTGACAGGCAATCCTCCCCACTCCAGACCCCAGCAATTGATAAATTGTTTGTTGTCACTGCATAATAATTTGGCATTTTTGAAAAAGAACTTCATATAAATGGAATCACAAACTATTCAGATTTGGCTGGGTTCTTTTACTCAGCATGATGTTTCTGCAAGTCATCCGTGTGGTTGCATGTATTAGTACATTTTTAAATTGTTGAATATTAGCTTTTCTTTAAAACTTTGAAAATCAGAGTTTGTTTTTCTCTTTACTCTTGCCCCACACTAATAGGCTTTTTGATGAGCCCTTCTCTCTCTCTCTTCCTTCCTTCCTTCCCTCTCTTCCCCCCTCCCATCTCCTCCCCTCTTGTCTTCTCTTCTTTTCTCTTCTCTTCTCTCTCCTCTCTCTTCTTTTTTTCCAACATGGAGTCTCGCCCTGTTACCCAGGCTGGAGTGTAATGGGGTGATCTTGGCTCACTGCAACCTCCACCTCCTGGGTTCAAGCAATTCTCCTGATTCAGCCTCCCTAGTAGTTGGGATTACAGGTGTGTGCCACCAACACCCAGCTAATTTTTTAATCTTTAGTAGAGACAGGTTTTCACTATGTTGGCCAGGCTGGTCTCAAACTCCTGACCTCAAGTGATCCACCCACCTCAATGTCCCACAGCGCTGAGATTACAGGCATGAACCACCACGCCCGGCCTAGCCCTTCACTTTCTACCCTTAGTGATTCCTGAGTGCAATGAGTATTTGTGTGTTCTTTTGTCCTAAAAAACACAGTCAGTGGTCCTGTGTCCACTCTTCTGCTTTCAACTATGCTTTCTAGACCCCCTTCTAAAGATGTGGTAGATGGCTGCCCTTAACCATTTGCTGGCAGCTTGATTCCAATCAAAAGAGGGAAACTCCACAACCAAACAGGGCCATAGCTCCCTGTCCAGTGGGGAACTCTGGCCAGGCTGGGCTTTAGGAACTGCTGAACTTTCTGTTGAGCGGTCACCAGCTTCTGACAGGGGGCTCCTAGGGCAGTAGCTGACTTAGCAGCTGTTCCCAGAGGGTCCTTCATTGGCTTTCTTTGTATTTCAGGACAGTCCTGAGAAGACCGCTGCATCAGAACAAGGGGACTTTTACATCACAGGGGACCGAGCTCGCATGGACAAGGATGGCTACTTTTGGTTCATGGGAAGAAATGATGATGTGATCAATTCTTCAAGGTCAAGCTGTCTGCATTTCCCTTCTCCCTTTGAAATTTCATGGGGGATGAGGGAAGCCCACTTGAAGAGTTTGTTTTTCCCTTCCAGCTACCGGATTGGGCCTGTTGAAGTGGAAAGTGCCCTGGCAGAGCATCCTGCTGTCCTGGAGTCAGCTGTAGTCAGCAGCCCAGATCCCATCAGGGGAGAGGTAACCAGTGCAGTCAAGAACACGGCCTTCTGCTTCTGTACCCATCAGCACCCATCAGAATAGCAAGAAGGCTCAGATTGTCCTGTATTTCACCTCCATCCATGTGCCACAGAGTTGAAACGCCACCATCAGACACACATTACCTTCGTGAATTTGGAGATACAGTTACTCTCTAGAGGAACACAATGGGAAAATGCCAATGCTTTGCTTTTAAGTGGACACGACTGGGTCCAAAAGAGGCTGGCTATAGGGCAGGAGGTCTTAGGGGGAGGTGCAGACTCTGTCATCCATCCTGTCTAATAAAAAGTCATTTTCTATTTGCAGATGAGGATACAGTGAGCACACCAGACATGGTTGCTAATGGCTCTAACTTGAGAGGGATAGAATATATACCCCAAATGACCTTGATATATCAGAAAGATGGGCCAAATTTATTAAGCTGGGCTTTCACAGGAGAAATCTTTCTGTGGGTCCCAGAGGAATACATAGTGTGGGAGAGATCAGCTTACAGGCAGACCTAGGTACTTTTTACTGGCTGTATATCCAACATAATCCTAAAGCACAACAGTTACCTTTTGAAAGTTAGTGCAACATCAGCCTGCATTCTCAGAAGCATCAGGACTACAGGAGAGATTCTCAAAGTCTGGTTCTTGGACTGCTTGCAACTGTAACATCGGAGATTCCTGTTTAAAATACAAATTTGTAGACCTAAAGTCAGACTTACGGAATCATAATGACTGGGAATGCAGCCCAGAGAATCTGCATTTTAGCCAGCCACTCCTGGCCAAATGATTCCCCACTAAAATCTGGGGCAGTTAATATAGAATAAGGGAGGTGTGGAGTACCATCGATGTGCTGAATCAATCTCACCTGAAAAGTATGCCTAGTTCAGCATGTCATGAGTTAACTGGGACTGTGACAAACATCTGTGTGCTCAAAGTTAATCCATGTATAGTGCTTAGAACTGAGTCTGCTGAGTAGAAGGCTCCCAACAAATGTTTAGCAGTTATAGTAGTAAGAAGAAGCTCTTCCAGAAGTATATCTGTTTGAACATGAAATGGTAGTGCTCTTTCATGCCTGTAGGAAGTATGCAAGGACAGTGGCCTACCCCTTAATAGAATATTGGTTTATTTGTTTTTTGTTTTCTTTTTCTCCTTCTTCTTCTTCTTTTTTTTTTTTTTTTTTTTTTTTTTTTTTTTTTTTTTTTTTTTTTTT